CTTTTCATAACATACCCTGATTTTTCACCTATTTAGTAAATTATAGATGACAGATGCCAAGGCACATAAAGCATCTGCTCTGTCCATTTCAGCAGTATGGAGTTGCCAGAATGCAATTAAAGAATTGCAGTGGAGTTGTCTGTGGAGAGACTTTGTTTTGGCTACTCCTTGTGACAGCCCTTCTTCAAATTACCTTCCTCCTCCTTCCCCATTCACCAGAGTCCCAAGTTATATATGCAGTGCATATTGTTGTGATTTCACTGCCTAGTATTCAGAGGTCCCAATTTTGCCTGCTGGTATTAAAGTGATTCATTGAGAAGAAGGGCCGGCTTCATGGCAGCCCTGTCCATCCTTACTAAATTTACCTCCAACTTTCCCAGTTCTGCTTTCTCAGAGCTATCATGTCAGCCACATGGTGGAACTGCATTATCTTTTCCTGACGAGCTCATGGTAAAAGGAGTTGATTTCCTTGGGTATGTTGAAGGCCTCTGAACGTGCACTGTAAGAGGATAATTACAGATGCTTTCTCAAAGCCAGCTTAAGGAGTTTTATTAGCACTGTCAGATGCACAATTGACTGCAGCATTGGTCAGGATTGAGTGGCCAGAGGCAGATGGTAGTGTCCAACTATCTTGGCTGGAGGAACTACTTGGTTGCCATGCCACCCTCCTTAACCACCATTTTCCTTAGAATTGTTTTTTGTACGTGCCCTAGTAACAGATGTAAATGCTCCAATGTGATCCAGAAAAGTCACAATCCTAAGTTAATGACATGATGATTTCAAGCTATCAAATTCATTAAGAAGAAATGTAATGCAAGTATTACTGCATCACTCTCTTGGTAAGACTTAATAGCTCATACTAGTTAGGCTATATTTAAGCTTGGGAAAAGCTCAGAGATAACAGGGTTGAAGGGAGCATAGGTATAAAAGCATTGCAGCTTCTTGTGTTGTACCCTCAAGGCAAAATGGTTTTGTTAGTAACTTTTTTTCAGTTAGTATATTATTACTCTTATGATGTCAGCATTATGAATTCAGGATGAATAAAACTAGAATAGCATGAGGAGGCTTTGAAATGTTTTTTTTTTGCCAGATGCATTCCTGCAGTTCTTTCTGTTGGTCTTCACACTGTCTCGAACATTAGAGGTTTTAAATGGCTTGTGGCCAGTTGTAATTCCTTCCGTACTGCAGATTTGCATGGCTTCATGTGCTGAAAACGGAGTGTGAAGTATTTGGCGGTATTGAAACTCCCTATGTGTCCATCATATTTAACTATTCAACTTCAGGATGTTTGGAAGGAAGCGTTTGTTAAAATACATTTATTTTTAGGAAAATCACAGCCTTGGTGGGATCTGTGTAGTACTTAAAATTTACACTGTTAAACTTCAGCTAAATAACAGATGAATAACATTTGAGGTAGTGCTCCTTCAAATTGAAAATCAACATTTGAAAAATGAAATATGCTGAGATAAGATGAATAACTACTGTTTTCTCATGATTCATTATGCATGACTCATGGCACAGGATTCCATTTCCCAATGGCAAAGATAGATGCATCTTTCTTAATTGAAGCAAGTCTCCTTAATCTTGGACAAGCTGAGCTCATTATTCACTCAGACTAGTTCTTGTCCTTCTGCATGGCTTCAAAAGGTATGCAGTACATCAAAAATCACAGCAAATACTGCAATTCAGAGGATTCACTACTTGTGCTATGAGTATAGGGCCCCAAATGGAGAGAATTGTGGAAATTGAAATTTTACATCTATAAAAGTGAACTTTTAGCTTCCTGTCATAGACTGAGGAGAACTACCACATTCAATCATGCTGGTAGTCACACTCCTTCTGCAAGTGAGTATTAAGGATCATCTTGCATGTCTTATGGAAGTTGTATTTTGTCCATTGTCAGCAGACAAAAACACTACCCCATGCCTGACACTCTAAAACGTGCTTGCTTCTACAAGCAGTAGAATACAAGGTGATTTCTCCTATTTCGTGAGTGGTCTTACTGTGTATGCACACATATATATATACATATATGATGCTTTTACTTTTTAATGTGTGAAAAGCACAGTTGTAGTTGTTCCATATTATGCACGTATGCCTTGGCTGGATGGTGGCTGGTAGAATAAGCGTGTTTCACATGTGCATATTCTTGTATAGTTGTATAGCACAAGTAAAGTAGGGTGTCTCAGACAGAGCTGTCATTCCAATAAGTTGCAGTTGCTTGTGTAAATTCACGCTTACTAAAATGCAAAATTACACCTTTATCCACATGTACTAGTGTAAGAGATTGTAATGACTGTTTCTGGTATGTTTGAGGGTAACTTGTCTTGCCTTTTGCAGATCACTTGAAAGGGTAAATCTGGTAGTTGTTTAGTAGTGGCTTCTGCAAGTAGCAATGAGGTTATGAATCATGTGAATTCTTTCATGTGTTTTGAAAGAAAAGGCCACTTTAGGCAAAGCATAAACGCAACCGTATGCCCATACCTCAGAGTCTTCATAGAAATTTGATGATAAAATTGCTGTGCATATGATTTGTTTTCTGAAGAAGAAACTCTCGTGCTTTTAGAGCAGTAGTATAGCAGCAACTAACTCACTGGTATTTTTCTAGCTAAGTGTAAAAAACTAGAGTATAAAATTGATAATTAGATTGATATAAGTAATATTTTTGGTAGTTTTTAAAGATAGTGCATGCCTTGTTACCTTTCAGGAGGAGGCAGCAGTTAAAACCAGAAGAAATCTTGTTACAGTCTGTTCAATAGGAGAAAAGTATGCAAAGTGGAACTGTTATGCTTTTATTAATCTTAGTATGGCAGTATCTGTGTAGACTCATTGAACAACCATTTTGTGTTAAGAAAAGTCTTCATAGCACAGTTTTCTGTTGAATTAAAGAAAGTGAGCTTTCCCATGTTGCCTTTTCCACAGTGATCTTGACTGTCCAAGTTGAATGATTTGGCTTTTGGAAATAATGTGAAACTCAATTAAATGTTCTCTCCCAATATTCTGCATCTCTTCAAAGAGGGCAGTTTGCAAAAGTGGCTTCAGGGGCTGAAAGGAATATGCCCTTAAGCACTTAAAATCTTCAGTGCTGCATGTGATTAGAGCTGTTTAATGTGATTCTTCAGAAAGATTACTGAGAAATCTGTGGGTTTGTGCACCAGCAGTGACATCATTTGTCCTGTTCAGAGTTCTTCTGCAGGTAGGAAAAGCAGATGGTTTCCTTTAGTCGGAGTATGACCAGTGTAGATAGAACAGAGTGAGAAGATTATCTCACCCCTAAATACCTAAAATGTAACTAACATCAATACTGGATTTGTAAATGTAGTAGGTAGCAGTTGTGATACTTAAAATAGTGAGGCTGCTTCCAAAAAAAAGAATGGCAATACAACCACTAAAGAAAGGGCAAGAGGGAATTGTATTCTCTGGGAACAGGCTGATTACTAGTGGGATTTATTGAATGAACCCTGTGTACGTCAGAATGGGATCATTGCACATGAAAGGAAAATGTAACTTTAAATCGGTATATAAAAAGGAGAAGAAAGAAACAGTTCTCTGTTTGGGTTAAGCTAACCAATTGTATTGGTAGTGTAAAATGAGGCAGGCAAAGAAGAACAATAGATAAAGGGGGAAGAGGTGGACAGAGAAAGAGAAGTCTAAATTGGAGATGGCGTTGGCTGTATGTGGCAGAGGGTTAAGTCTGTTCCTCCCTCTTTCAACAAAATACAAGAAGTCTTTCAAAGGAGCTTTTTTTTAAATTATTTTTCTTTAAGCCTCGAATGTGGCAACTTACAGCAGCTGGTGAGACTAATGGAGCTACATGGAATAATGCTTGCGTTGTGAAGCCTCCCATCAGCTAAGGAGGTGGCCCTGGTACCATTTGGGGTGGGCCAAGGTGCCAGCTATTCATTCTGTACAAGATAAAGTATCTGCACTGAAATAGCTTAAAAACCAGCTAGCATGTATTAGACATTCCCAGAGTTGAAGTATTGCTTTAAAAGACTGAGGTACTTGAATTTTAAAGTATTTACCTGCAGCATTTGTGTGTGCTACTTGGAAGCAGTCTGTAGGTAGGTAGATAGTGATGTCTTTTATGGTGACTGATATTGTTACAACTGACCATCCTTAACTTCCTCTCTAAAATGCAATCAACTCCAACTATTTAACAGAATCATTTATTTAAAGGAGAATTTACATTACTTTTTTTTTTAATACAGGGTTGTAATAAGTGCTTGAGTTTCTCAGTTTTGTATTATTGCTAACTTCACAGGTGCACCAAAGGAAGAAAAAGTAAGCAGTGGTTAAACCCCAAGTGTTAAAATGTGTCAGTCTACAGTTTAAATTGTGCCAATGTGTTAATGTATATCATGTTATATGTATTTATATATCATGTTTATTCCAGACAAAGCTAAAGTAAATGTTTCTCACATAAAAATACTGAGGGGAGAGTTATTTGGCAGTGATGTAACATGCTCTGCCATCCTGCTTTGTAGCCTTTCTCCCCAAAATCTTGATCCTGAAAACATTTACAGAAAAGGTTAACAAAGGGAATTTCACAGGAAAGAAAACAATTTTGGAAAAAGAGTGACAAAATTGTTGCCTGTTTTGGAAGTCTCTTGCTGATGGTTGAAGCAATGCTGAGAAGTGTTTCAGCCTGACTGCAGGAGAGCCTCTGAGGCATATACATGTGCACACTCACTCCCCAGATCACCAGCCTTGCCTGCCCTCAGACCAGAGCTGTGTGCCCCTCCAGAGGGAGGAGGGTACCCCACTACTGGGTCCACACCCCTCCTGTAAGATTGCTGGTGGTTCTGGGGGCCTATTGAATTCGGAGGAAGAGTGATTGTGATGTTAAAAATTAATGCATTGGTTACTGCTAGAAATGTCAAGTTTGTGCCTTACAATTGTTTATGGTCTTAGCCGTGTTAATATGCTGAAGAAATTAACTGATAACTTCTAAATATTTTTCCTTTTTTTTGATGCTAAATATGTTTTTATTAATTCAGGCAAGAAGACAACAAGACCCTAGTCCTGGATCTAATCTAGGAAGTGGCGATGATCTCAAACTACGTTAATCAACAGCAGCAGGCGTACCATGGGTCTGCACACACGCATTGCTTCTACTTGGCAAAGGATTTAATAAAAGACCAGAAACTGTGATAACTGGGTATACTATGGTCTGTTTCCTGACCTGCGGCAGTCAGAATCACCATGAACTGTCATGGTTTGCACTATGTTTATGTTACAATACCTGCATTTCCCATTTTAAGCATGTAGCCAGTGGCAATTTGAAAGGTTTTTTTTCTATGCAAACTTATTTTTGTTGGCGCTATTTTAGTGAAATGGAAACTTACACAGCTATAAAACCATTTTTCTCAACTGTAATAAAAAGTGTCGCTTAAAAATAGGTCAAGATATTACAGATTTAAAACTTTTTGTTTTTTTGGTTGGATTTTTTTTTTTTTTTGGTAAACTGCTGGAAGCCAATGCATTCCAAGCGTAATTTTTTTAATACGAGCTTTTGGAATTTTGATTGTCTTTACTGTGCTCCTCCTTTATGTTAGATATGCATGCTTATCTTCCTTTCACTTTTCCTTTTCCTAAATTTGCAAGATCTTCTTAAAACTGCTGACATTATTTTGCATTATTTCCAAGCTAAACCCAGTGAATCAGAGCTGTTGGAATCCTTTCTCAAACTTGTGGGTTTGTAAATGCTACAGTTGCAGTATGCTTTTAACTGCTGACAGTTCATTGGTTCCACTTTTTAAAGGATAAAATCTTAAAATGTAATTTTCATGCATTGATAATGCATTCTGCCCCAGTATCTGTCTCAGATTTTATTATGATACCAAGTGAGTTTGGGTGGTTATTATACCCCTGTATATAGTACTTTACTGAAACTCATAGGAAGTCGCAGGCTGGCTTCTGTTTTATTCAGGGATTTTTTTAACTAGTTCTTCAAAGGGATACTGCAACTCTACAGTCAGATTCAACAGCACATTCAACTGGGGACAAAAGGTGATATGTATTAAATCATGTTTCATATAGCTGCTTTGAGTATATTTTGTATCTTAGGCTTTTTGTAAAGTTGTGCTGAATGGTGAAAATATGAGGTTGTGTGCAGAGAATCTCATACAATCCATAGGACACTTCTCTTGATCTTATGCACATTAAGACTACATTGCAGTATATATTGCATTTTCTAATAGGGTAAGATTTGGGATGAGTTAATCTGTGTGAATTACCATGTTTTATTTGGGGTAATGGTGAATGGACTTGTTCCAAATTTTTCATTGCATCCAATATTTGAAGAAAATTGATTGGAAATGTGATGATGTCATTTGGCTTTGTTAAAATGTGGTGCTTCCTGTACAGCCTGATGAATTAAAATGTCACTGCAATCCTTTTTTTTTTAAATAGGTAATCTGGCTTCAGTATCCTAAGAATTACTTTGAAGGTCGAAACTCCGTATGGTTAAAACAGTTGAATCTTTTCAATCTTTAAGATTCTTTGATGAAGATAATTACATTCCTCACGAATGGCAAAATGATGCAAAAGAGGTCTTGCAAAAATGTAAGCAGATGTCAGTGTGAAGGAGCCTATGTTAATAATATGAATATTTAACATTCACATCAAAATGTCCGTAACTGTAAACTGTGAGAGTGTCATCAAATGAGAATATTTTGATACTTCAATTTAAATGTGATTCACCTGAAAAACCTTTTTCACTCTGTGGCCATGTATTCTTCTTGCTCTTCTTCCCCCAAAGAAATAATTTTTCTAAAGTGTTTCTGTAGTGAGTTATTTAAGGGACACCCTCATGCCCACACATGCATCCCTAGCCTTGGAGCTCCTCTGCCATCTGTGGGTTTTTTTGATGGAATAGTCTGAAGATATCTGAAGACCACCGTTTCAGACAGTGGTTTTACACCATGAGTACACAGGAAATTACACTATCAGATATTAACGTTGCTGTCTTTGTGTAAATACTGAACTTTCCCTATCATCATTTAGCATTCTGCTGCTTTTGATATCTTAATGCTGGCATTAAGATCACAAGCCCTTACCCTCTGCTGCTTAGTGCAGACTTTTTAAAATGCATTTTAAGTTATTGATGCAATTTGATATTTTTCATGATTTCTATTTAAACTGAAGTTGCATCATCTTTCTTGAATTCATCTCCTGTAAGAGTTGCCTTAAGCTGCAGGCTTGCTTTTGCCACTTTTTGTGTTGTATGTTTAACTTTCATAATAAACCTCTTGTGTAGTGAAAACAAGTCACTGTAAATTTATTTCTGACATCTTGGCAGTTCATTCCCTTACATTAAGTGTTCATGGGGTGATTTCCCAACCTACTGCCTGAGCAGGGCTGCCTTGGTGTCCATGGGTAAAGCAATAGTGACATCTAGTGGTCGTGGAATTGAAGTGAGGACCTCCCTTTTTCAGGGTCTGTCCGGAGGGTCTTCATGGCTCACAAAATCTTTAAGGGCGTATGTTGAGGAAAATGCATGTATTTCTGCCCGAAAACTCTTGTGTTTTTTGGAAGTGATACACTCTGGTTACTGAAGGGGATACACTTTCCAAGTAACTCTAAGAAAATCTGTCTCACTGGGTTGCAAGTTGTGCACACTTCTAGAAGAGTTGTTTTTACAGCAGCCATTAAACCTTGCTAATTGTGTGGTTTGGATGAGGAGGGAAACGAGGCAGTTTGCACATTGAAATTCGGGAAATTGGGAAATGTGGTGAAGTCCTGTGGAGAAAATATGAATGGTCCATGCTACACCTGCAAACCTCATGTGAAGCTGCTAAAATCTCAGGAAGTATAACTTTAAGTATATAATACTGACCCTCAGGGGTGGTTATGTTCTGAAATCACATAGAGGGTTGCTTTGTGAATAGGTGGGAGTCTGCCACTGGGTTTGGGAGTGTTTGCATACAAAAGGACAGTATAACTGTACATGCTTTTAAAATCTGACTGTAAACAGGTTGGAGAGTGCCTCATGAAACCAGCACTGACTGAGATATGTGGCTTTTCTGAAGAAACTGCAGTTTGGAACGGAGGTAGCTCTTAAAACAGACATAAATGATGAACTGTGTTACTATGATTGCATGTTCCTGATGGCAGGTAGTGATGTTAGGTACTGTAGGCTCTGCCATGAGAGCAGCTGGTTTTGAAAGGCATTTGTAAAGAGCAGTTAGTAAAGCTGTTGGATAACTGTTCCGCAAGCTCATGGGATGATGATTCACTTTGCTGCCCAAGGTGCATCACAGTTGGATGGATACCTTGTTTATAAAGGCTTTTCTTGAGTGGAGGTGTCTAAAGAACAGAGGCACTTTTTCCCTGTCTCCCTCTAGATGGATGTAGCCTCTTGGGTGCATGAATAGCAGAGGGGATCTGGGAAGCCTCCTTCATGAGGGACCTGCAGCAGAAGAGGATTTTTAAAACATTAATCAGAATCCCAGACTGGTTTGGGTTGGAAGGGACCCCAAAGCTCATCCAATTCCAACCTCTGCCACAGGTAGGGAAAACTTCCGATAGACCAGGTTGTTCCAAGCCCTGTTCAACCTGGCCTTGAACACTGCTGGGGACAGGGCAGCCACAGCTTCCCTGGGCAATTGCTTACAATCCTTTCCCTCAGCTAGCATAATGTTGGGGTGGCTGCATTCAATTTGGGAGTGGAAGATCACTGCTGGAGCTTACTGAAATGGAGAAAGGATGTCGGTGACCTGGAGCCCAACTGGAGCAGATGAGATATGGTCACGTCTGGTTTGCTCTTTTCACCTCTTGAATTACACAGCCTCTTTCTAACTTGAGAGAATCCACAGTATTAACTCTTCAGTCTGTTTTATGAAAGCTTCCAAATCCTGAACCCACAGGTTTCCTCCTCCCTCTTGAAAGACATGGCAGCTCTGAGCTGCCCTGCCCCAGTCTCCTGGCCCCCTTTTGAAAACAGGCCACCATAGAAATGAAACTGGGGGTGAAAACAGCAGCTTTTCTGTTCCTGCAGATCTGGGACAGGTTGTCTAATAACGAGCCTTGTTCAGTTAAGGGCTGGGGAGTTAAATGAAGGATTCGAGGGTTTGGAGAACTCCAGGATTATGTGGCCTGACAGTTTCTTGGTAGGCCTTTGTATTTTTTTGCCTTCCAGAGGACCCCACTCTACTACAGCTGTACTCACCTGAATGGTGTTCCTATACCATTCTGTGTGTAGGAACAGGACCCATTTCTATGGTTACATTATTCTGTTACAACATTTCCCATGCAAATAAGAATGACAAAAACGGCTTCAAGGATGGGAATTGCAGTGCAAAGTTAGAGCAGAGCCAACATTTGCATAGGCCACATTTCTCATAACTCATTTACCTGGCATCCTGTCCTCACACTGTTGTGACATGGAAATCCCAGGACATGCGTATTCACCAGCTGCCACACAGCTCGGAGCTGCTTGCAGGTTGAGTATTAAATAGCTTTCTCAATTATAGGTTGAGATAAGTGAGTTGCCAGAATTGCCTCAGGCTCAGTTCTTAAAGCGCAGGAGTGAGGAAGGGGGGAAAGTAACACAGAAGAGCCAGGTACTGTCTTGGCTGGTGCTGTCACCCTTCAGTGGGTGCCTGTGGGAGGATGAGGTACATGTAGGAGGGGATGAAGTGAGAAAAGGGAATGTTTCTTGTTAAGCTGGATGCTTTTTACGCAGCCTGGCCCACAGCTGGTGAGGCTTCTGTGAAGTCTTTGCTGTTCCCCACAGCTCTTCTGATGAGTAATGGTGTGCTGGGGTACATGTTTTCTAAGTGTTCCACTTTCCATCACTCCATGCTGTAATTCTGTTTTTTGCAGGAACTGGTGGCTTTATCACCTTTCACCCTTTGCAGTCCCATAGCAGGTGAAGGGGAAGGGTTAGCCTGAAAACAGGGAAACCTTCTAGAGCTCAAGAAAACTTTGTACCTGAGAGCTCCTGTGTCCTCCATCCGTTCTCCACTGGTTTGCTGCAAGAGGCTGTCACTCCAAGCCTTGCCCACTTGCATCCCCAAGTCTTTCAGCTTTTCCTATTCATACCATGCAAAAGTCCATCAAAGTAGAAAAATGAGCAGTGTTAAGAGGACTAAACCAGTAGCTATTGGATGTACTTGGCATTGAAAGCTTCTTATGTGACTACACTGTTAGTACAGTACACTGTACATGTTTGGGCTGATGGTGCTTCTGCTGGGATATTTCTAAAGTGTTTCAGGACTTTGGCCCTTTACAGCTGGGATGCAGATCATGGCTCTTCAGGCTGTGTTCCCTAGGGATAACGGGAGTGTGAAGAGCTGAGGTCTGCACAGGGGGAAGTAAGCGGTTCATAGAAGAAGCCACAGAAAGGTGGTTCGGGTTTGCCTTTGGGAAGTGAGCAGGTACCTGAGTACATCAGATGGAGGAGGGAGGGGGGAATGGGGAACCTGCAAGGGCAGGCATTCCTGACACGAACCATTTCCTTCAAGTCTAGCAGGCACTGTTGCGTTTGCCTCACTATAGGCTGGCCAAAATGGTTGTGGTTCTTGGCTAGAGCAAAAGGAAGAGGGGACGTACAGTACTGAAGGTTTGTACCTCGTGCAGCAGTTGTGGGTGCCAATTAGTGGATTTGTTCAGGCCCACAGATTTCGGAGTATATTTATGGATACTCAGCCCTGCATGCAGGCTGCCTATGGTTCTGTTCCAGGTCACTTGCTCCAGCTGTGTTTGAGGACAGAGGCCAAAGTGAGGAGGAAAGGGTGCACACAACATGTGGTGTTTGCATGCACGGACTGCTCCTAGCTGCCCTGTGCTTGCCTTCTGCTTGGGCCAAAGCTGCTGCTGCTATCTCAGAACTTCTGAGCCCCTTCCTGGCAGGGACATCCCCGCTCAGAGGCACTTGCCGAATGCTCCCACACAGAGGAGAGGATGGATCCTCTTTCTAGTTCTGCTTTCAGTTCTGCTCTGCAGAGCGCTTCTGGTGTACGGCTGGTGGGACCTGGTGTTGGTGGGACCTGGTGTCGGTGGGACCACGGGGAGTGTGACTCAAACTACCAACCCCACCAAGGTGCCTTTGTCATCAGCTCCTTCAAACCTTCTCGGTGTCTTGCCCTTTGGTTCTGCATCTTGGGCAGGGCATCCTAATGGGACCACAGGACACCACCCTGCAAAGCAGGACTAGGACAAGAGAGAATAAACTGGAAAATGAGCCACTGTGGTCCAGGAGTGTGAGATGGCTGCAAAGGGAAAAGGAAGGACCTTGCTCCAGCTGCTTGCCTCTGCCCAGAAGGGGTGCCAGGTGTTCCTCAGGCTCTTCTAGCATGGCACACAGCTGTAGCAGGACCTCTTCTGCCAGCAGACTGGGCTTGTGCTCTGCTAGGATAAATCTGTAAGAGACTTCCAGTTGTGTCAGACAGCAGGCCCTATGGAAAGCTGTTCTTGTTATTGCATTGAAGATCTACCACCCTTTTAACATCCTGCCCTGTGTTTCAGTGCTGTAGTCCATTGCTCAGGCTGGGGATTTTAACAGAGCAGCAACTAGTGGATGTTTCCCACTTGGTGCCTGCTGTGGCACATGGTGCAGGATCTGCTCCCCCATTACTCCCCCAAAATAGTTTCTTACTTTGAAGAAACCATTGGTGAAGGTGATGCAGCCATCGAAGGACATGGACAGTTTGCACGGGAGACCAGTGGCTTGGCTGTGTGGCTCAGCTCCTTCCTAAGTGTATTTTTGGTGTTTTATATCTCAGCAGTGTGAGCTGGATTCCATGTGACAGCGGCAGCAAGCACAGATGTTGGC